AGGGGGCGCAGCATCCGGCAGGGGTGGGGGGGGGGTGGCAACGGGGAGGGGTGGCCGAGCACTGAGGATGTGTCCCCTGTTCCAACACACAGCATCTGCTCCCACCACCCTCCCCATGGAGCCTCTGCTGTGCCCCCGGTTCAGGGTTGTCTTGGCCGGACTCTTGGCTCTTATCTCTGCCCCAGCTTCCCGGCGATAAGGGTGGCATGTCTGGGGGTGAGTGGGGCTGACTGTCCCTCCCGTCCACAGCTCTAGCTGTGGCTGCTATTTGTCACCAAGCAGCTGCAGCCACGATGCATTCAGCCCGGTCCCTGGCAGCAGTTTCCCCCCTGCCAGCCCCTCTGATGCCCAGGGCTGGCACCCACAGGGCCAGGCAGGAGCCCACCTCCAGGCAGGACCTGGGGAGGGGATACATGGCCAAGCATGGCACTGCTGGCAAGGGGAAGGTTCATGGAGGTTGTCTGGAGCTGTGGTGGGATGCAGGTGGACCTGGGCCATTTATGCCGACCTCAGGGGTCTTTTTCCAGTATGGCAGAAGACTCTGGAGAGGAGCAAAGCTCCTCTGCCTCATTCACCCCAGTGCTCCTTCCCCATCCTCAGTGCCGGGGGATCCTGCTCCAGCAGCATCCATCCCCTGACCCTGCCCAGGGGGGGCTCTGCCGGGAGCATCCCTGCAGGCATCCTGGCAAAGGCCACAGCTCCTGCCCACCCCGGGAGCGCACTGGGGTGTAAGAGCCCATTTTGCTCTAAACTGGATTTGCTCCAGGATCAAAGCCAAAGGAGGAGACACAGGGCGTGGGGTGCTGATAGCTGCTTCCCCTCCCCAGGTCCCATCCCACTGCAGCTGGCCAGCTGCGAGCACAGGCTCCGGCAGCTGTGATGGGGCGGAGGCAGCAGGGAAGATGCACAAAGCCCTGGTACCCTGTTTTGGGGCAAAGAATGGAGCTAGGAAGCTCTGTGAAAGCAGGAGAGGTGCAGGGTCAGCACGGCAGCCAGTAACCCCCCCAGGATGGAGGAGGACGGGGGCTCAGAAGGGATCTCGAGGGCTCGCCAGACCTGCCGAGCTTTGGGAGGAGGCACAGAGCAGCCAAGCCAACAGCCCCAAAGTTTCAGGCTGGTTTTAATACTGTCAGAGACATCCCGGAGTGGGGCCATCGCCACCCCCACCATCCCACCTGGGTTCCCTCGGCACTTGCCAAGGCAAACCCATCCCCAGCCCAGCCCCACGGCCGCTCCACATCCCAGCAGGTGGGGAAGCGTGGCCGCCAGTGCCGCTGCTGGGCACCCTGCCCGCGCGCCCGCCTGCCAGCGCTGGGTCTCACTCATCTCCTACTGCTAATCCCAAGGGCTCGAGCAATGCAAGAGGCTCCCCTCCACCCCAGGGAAAGGGAAAAATTCAGGTTACAAAAAGGGTCATGGCACAGATCTCTGCCTAGTTTAACCACCCACCTTTCTCTGCACCCTCGTGGCTACAAATCGTCTTCCCCCCAGCTACCGGATTGCAGCCCCCCTTGGTCACCGCTTCGTTATGGGGACAAGGGACCTCCAGGCACCCCAAATTGCAGTAAGGTGGGGATGGTGGCAGTGCTGGGAGTTGGAGAACGCTGGAGCCAGCATCCCAGGAAGGGGAATGGGCAGTGCCTGCCAGAATGCCAACCGTGGCGCCGGCCAGGAGCGGCCGGAGGGTAGAGCCACCAGCAATGGGGACCCGGTGCCTCTTGATAGGAGCCATCTCATCACTCCCCTTGCACTATGCGGTGCTGACACCACAGGCGAGGAGACCCAGGGCCTGGCAAAATGGGCAAGGGACAACAGCCGAGTCGGTTTTTCCGAGTCCTTGCTTGCAGCTGTGCAGGGAGCCAGAGGGACGTCGGAGGCTGCCAGCCTGGGGTGCCTGCCCTAAGCCCCCCAAAACTGCTGAGCCCCGAGCCCCAGTGCAGGCAGGGGACTGCTGCTGGCTGTAGCCTCTCTGCTGGAAGCAGAAGCAAAAAAGGGGAGAAAATTTGTCTCCGGGCTTAGCTGGGAGGATGCAGCCAAGCCCCGGTTGCAAGGAGAGGGTCTACCCACAAAGCCCCATTTGAAGGATGGGGTCCCCCAGCCAATCCCTAGTTGCAGGAGGGGGTCTCATCCCTGGCTAGAGGGGGGAAAAGGGCTGGAGCCATCCCCGCATCCCACCTGCAAGGGCCCCCTAAAGTGCAGTGCTGCCGCCCCAGCACCAACCCGGGGCAGGGGAGCCCTCCCAGCTGCCTCCTGAGTTTGGGGACATGGAGAAGGGGGGTGTGAGGTCAGAGCAGGAGCAGGCAGGGGTGGGCAGGGTGCAGGGAAGAGGAGCCCCGTCCTTCCTCCCCCGGGCGCCTACTCGTCGCAGCCCAGCAGCTCCACGCGCAGGGTGATGCGGTTGTGCCAGGCCACGGGCAGGATGCGGACGAAGCGGGCGTAGAAGGGCACGTCGAACACGTTCTTCTTGTGTGAGTAGTTGTCGCTGTTACCGTGGAAGATCTAAAGGGAAAAAGGTGGGTGTCACCACCGCCAGGACCTCCCCACCACCGTCCCATCCCTCCCCGCAGCAGCATCCCCGAGCCCCGGGAGGTCACTGGCCACCTTGCCCGGTCCCACACACCTTGGTGCTGTTTGTCTGCCCATCCCGGTAGAGGGTCCAGGATGTGCCGTTGTCACTGTAGGCCACCTTGTAGGCTGCCACGTATTGGATATGTCCAAAGTCGCGGGCTCCTTGCGTGATGATGCCTGTCACCTTCTTCTGGTCCCGGAGGTCAATCTGGCACAGAGACAAGACTCGTTGAGGCTCCCCACAGAGCTCCCAGAGCATCCCATGTATCCCACAGGAAGGATGCACTGACCCTCAGGGGTCGAGAGCGGAGAAAACATCGCTCGACCCCTGCCCCAACGCCAGAGTGACTAATAAAACACTACCCCGAAATATTTGACCCTTTAACACTTGGAGCATCCCTCAGAGCAACCCGAAGCAGGACGCAAACCCTGCCACCTCAGCTCCATTCCCCGTCGCTGCCGCCTCAACATTTTTTGCTGAAAAGGTCAATGTGGGAACGATGGCAAAAAAATCTCAATACAAACAAAAAAAAAGAAAAAAAAAGGATTCCTGGAGGAATCCACTGGGAAGTCATTCCGGCTGAGAAAATATGCAATTCAGCGCGGTCTGACATTTGGGTTGTGAGATGGTTTCTATTCTCTTTACTCTGCCACACTGGGCTACTGCTGCTGGCACGCTACAGGGCAACCCAGCAAATGAGATGAAAGTCTCCTTAATTTACTTCCTATTTTATGCTCATCAAGGGCAGCAGTAGCTATACGTATACACCTACAAATGTGTATATATGAGTATACATGTAAATCTATGTACACGTGGGTGACAGCCCAACTCAGCGTGTCATCCCGACCCCATCAGCAGACGACTTGATAAGCTCGTTTATTTAGGGCCATGGAGCAGCTGCTTTTAATCATTCCCCAAATAAAAAGCGGGACAAATATCTAAACTGCTTTGTCCCATTATGTCATGAAATCATGTGAAAAGTACAAAAACAGGGGAGGAAAGGAAGCCGAGAAGGAAATTTCAAAACTATTTGTTCCCATTCCAGATTGGGAAGAGAAAAGCAAACCTGATTATTTTTTTTTTTTTCCTGCAAAACAGAAACGTGGTGTTCTGGGCAGCCGGAGGGTCGTGGGACGGTCACGCCAGGCTGGGATGGCATTTCCCCAGGGTGTGATGCAGAGCTGGGGTGCTGTGGGCTCAAGTGCACCCCACAAGAAGGTCTGCAGAGAGGGCACCACCCTGTCCTTGTCCCTGTCCCTGTGGACGCTGATGTTTCTGACCCAGCACTCCAACGTCGCTGTTAAAACCAGTGGCTGCAGCCCCATCCCAACTTGTCCCTGTGACCCCATCTCAGGGAGAGCCATGCTGTGCTGCGTGCCCCACGGCCAGCCACACCATCCCAGTGGCTCTGCCCAGTCTCTCCCACCACATCAGTCCTGCTTCCAACCACCACGGTATACAGGAGGTGGCCCCAGGCAGAGGAGGTGGCCCTGGGCACAGCTGGAGGAGCTGGGGAGGAGAAACCAGGTTGCAGAGGGAAGGAACTGAGACCCACCTGCAGCCACTCGGACTGGCCGTTGTGGAGCGCCGTCCAGGCGTTGGTTTTGCCCACCTTGTCCAGGCGAGCATAATGGGGGTGCCAGGTAAGGGCGTCGATGCCCCAGGTCTTGAAGACGCTGGAGGCTGTGATCTGCTGGTCGGAGATCAGGCGGGATTTCATGCCCAGAGGCTCCGAGCAACCTGCCGTGTTGAAATACACTGTAACACAATGGTTTACACAGGCGGTGAAAAGGAAAGAGCCCACGGCACCCGTCGCAAGCAACCAACCCCACCGACCCAGCAGAAGCCATCCCCATGTCCCCGCGTTCCCACAGCCCGGAGCGGCAGGGAAAGGCTCAGCAGAAGCACGGAGCTGCAACTCGCTGGCCTTTCCCTGGGATTTTTAGCTCCCAGCTATTCCCTGGCTCACAGTGCCTCCTGCTGCAAGGACGTGTGGACATCCCCACGGCACAGCCTGGCCCGGGAGGACAGAGAGTTTCGGCAGGAGGCAGAGGAGGACGCTTTCACGGGTGAGGAGAGCAAGGCAAAGCCATCCCCAGCCCACAGCTGGGCTGGCGCTGCACCCAGACAGCAGCAGGACACGACCAGCTGCAACATGGGAAGTTCCACTCAAATATGAGGAAGAACTTCTTTACGGTGAGGGTGACACAACCCTGGAACAGGCTGCCCAGGGAGGTCATGGAGTCCCCTCCTCTGGAGATTTTCAAGACCCGCTTGGATGCAGCCCTGAGTGATGTGCCATAAGCAATCCTGCTCTGGCAGGGGAGCTGGACTAGATGATCTCTAAAAGCCCCTTCCAACTCCAATAATTCAGTGATTCCGTGATGACCCAAGCCCCCGTGGAGCCCTGCATCCACACAGGTCCTGCTCGGCTGCTGGGGACATGCCGCAGGGCAGGAATGCGGGAGGCACAGGGGAAAGGGCTCAGGCTAATCATCCCTCGTGTTTCCCAGAGGACTTTGATCCTCGGTGCTTTTCAAGCTCTCCAGCAGGAAAAGCAGCCAGTTTTCAGCTTGGCCCAGGGAAGGGACACAATCAAAACCCCTCAGCTGGGAACTGGGACAGCTTGGGAAGGTGTGAGCAGCGTGAGAACGCAGCTCCAGCCTGGCTGAGCTGGTGGGATTAACAGCTTGTGCTCCCCAAAACCACCCGTGGGTACTTCCAGGCATCACGTAGCCAGCATGAGAAGAAACAAAAGGCTGACAAAGCCCCTGCCCCCGGGGGGGGTCAGAACCGGTACAAGAGGTGATGCCCTGCCCTGTGTCACCCCCCTGCCCTGCGGTCCCTGGGGAGGGGAGAGCCCCCCACATTTACCGTTCATCTCGCAGCCGATGAGTTCGAAGCGCAGCGTGCAGGCGCGGCGGCACATCACGGGGTAGATGCGGACGAACTGGGCGGTGATGGGAGGGTTGAACATGTTGGTCTGCATGGTGCCATGGTCCGCGTTCCCCTGGAAAACCTGCAAGGGCCAGCAGGGCTGAGTGCCCCAGCCCTCCCACTGCCTGGTGCACAAAAGCCCCTCCTGCTACAGCAAAGCTCCCCAAATCACAACAAGCAGAGAGAGGCGGCTCGCTCCTTTAACGCAATAAAAACAGTCAGGTCATGTTTTCATACATTTTTTCCACCGCCGCAGAAACAAGATAAACTTTTCTCTTTTTTTTTTTCGAGCGAGGCAGATATTCCTAGCCATTCCCCGGATGCTCAAAAATCAAGCATGAGACGCTTGCCATAAAAACTGAGAGCGGGGAGGGCTGCATTTCGTGGATATTCCTGCTTGGAGAGTGAGAGACACTGTCAGCTCATGCTGGGTGCGGACACAGCACCGAGCCCTGGAAACCATTTGCTGCCACTTCCCGACCATGCCCGGTTCCCACAGCGTGTCAGCAATAAAGATGTTATCTGATTGACCTAAATAAGTCAGCGCTGCTTCTTTGGTTCTGCTTATTATGGTCAATTAAACAGAGCCAGAGAGTGCTGCCTGATGCTGGAACCATCTGTGCCATCTCGCTGCTAGGACGGTTCCCAACGTGCCTTTGACCCAGGTTAAAAGCACTTTCCCCAAACACGGGGAGAGTTTGGGATGCAGCTCACAGCCACGATGGCACCCACAGAACCCCTGGGCCGGGGGGGAACCCGCACGGCCCCCACACAGAGCATGGCAGCCCACCTTGTCTATGTTCTGCTTCTCATCCTTGTAGAAGGTGAACTCCCGCCCATCCAGGCTGTAGGCGACTTTGTAGGCCCGGACGTACTCCGCTTTGCTCATGCGGCTAGCGCCTTGCGTGATGACCCCGGTCAGCCGCATCTTCCGCAGCAGGTTGGCCTGGGCAGGAGAAGACAACATGAGGTTGGAGAGGGTGCACAGCTCCTGTGCCACCCCAGGTCCCCATCACACCACCCAGCGACCTCATCTTCTCCAGACACGTCACAAGATGTCCCTGAGTGGCACCTTGTGGCCCTGCCATTGCCACCAGAAGCAGAGAAATCCCATGACAGCAGCCCAGCAAGACCACCTGGGGTACCAGGGCTGCCCTCTACACCAGTGCTCCCAGTTCTGTGCAGATACCTGGATCCAGGGGTTCTTGTCGTAGTTGCTGGAGGTCCAGGCATTGACGATGCCCTGGTTGTTGAGGCGGGCAAGCTCTGGTCCCCAGCGCTGGAGGCCGAGGAAGCCGTAATAGACAGAGGATGCCGAGAGCTGGGCGTCGGAGATGGCTCCTCCTTCCATGCCCAGGAGAACTGCACAGCCTGGGGGTGCAGGCAAGAGAGGGCAGAGTGGAGACATCAGCACCAAAGAGAGATGGTGACCAGGGAGCAAAACCAGGGGGGTCATTTGCCTCTTGTCTGGGGACAGGGCAGGAGATGGAGGCCAGTGCTAGGACCTGCTTGTCCCTTATGTGTTCTTCCCTCCTCAGCCTTCAGCCAAAACCACACCGTTCATCAGCTCCTCTCTGGATGGGGAAAGGGCCACTCTGGGGCCCCTCTAGAGAGGAGATGGCATCTTCCCAGGGATGCTTCCCCATCAGGACCAGGCTTGCTGGCCTCAAGGGCAGCCGGCACACAGGCACCTGTGGCTGCCCTCCAGATCCCCTAAACTAGCTGGTGAGATCTCTCCTGGGTACACCAGCAATGGGGGACAGGGCAGCAGGGAAGAGGGAGGGAAAGAGAATTCTGTAGTTGGTGCCAGGGACTTACGGATGTGGCAGGTCTTCCCCAAAAATGGAGAAGGACACTTGCAGGCATAGTCACCGTCCAGGTCTAGGCAGGTACCTCCATTTTTGCAAGGCTGGGAGTAGCAGTCATTCTTGTCTAGAAGACAGAGTGGTGGAGCTCAAGAGGTGATCCCAAAACCAGTCCCAGGGAGGAGACCCCTCATTCAGTGCAGCAATAAGAGGGGAGAGGCATCCCCTGAGCAAGGACCACAGCAGGTTCCCTGCTGATACCGTGGCACAGACTGAAGTTCTAACTTCAAGGAGCCACCTAAGCCATGTCCCTGCTGACTGCAGCTGCATGGGTGCATCAGGACATGAAGCCACAGCAAGGCTGGGAGCTCATGTGGAGAGGGCTGAGCCTCCAGGCACCCCTTGTCCCATTACTCAAGGCACTGTGTCCCTCCAGAGATGGAGAGCAAGGCTCAGACACATCCGTGTCCCTGTACTGTGGTCCTTCCCTCAAATCTACGAGGACCAAACCAGCCCATGGTCCCCAATAGAGCCCAGAGCCCAACTCAGCCACAGCTGCAAACACCCCCCAGGTGTCACCACGGTGCTGCCCAAGGGGTCCCCAAAGCCTTAGCAGCAGAGTAGCCTCCCCCAGTCCTCCCAGACCTCACCGTACTCACTGTTCTGGCAGTGCACCCCATCGTACCCCGCGGGGCACTTGCAGATGTAGTCAGTGAAGACGTCCCCCCGGTTTGGGACCAGCTGGCACTCACCATTGTTGTGGCAAGGATTGGGGTGGCAGGGGCCTGGGAAGGGGAAAAATGGCTGTAATACAGGCACAGGTGGAGAACAAAAGCATCCAGTGGGATATTGCTTCCTGAAGACATCGCACATACACCCCCAAATGATGGAGGTCACTACACCCCTGGTTGGATCTCCATTCTATATGCTCATCAGCAGGGCTGGACCCCAGAACCAGATCCCAGGGCCAGCGGTGCAGGGCCACGATGAGGGCACGATGCCATGCTGCAAGGCTCCTGGTCTTCATGGAGCCCCCGTGATGGGGTCAGCACCTCACCTTTCTCTGTCTCATTGCAGTCAATTCCAACGTAGCCCTCGGGGCAGATGCAGAAGAAAGGGGCCTCATTAATCCCGGTCAGGCAGGTGCCCCCATTCTGACAGTGGTTCACTTCGCAGAAGTCACCTGGAAGCAAAGCCACGTCATCTCAAAGGTGGTCACCCATGGATGCCCACAGAGGAATCCCCTCGGGGTGCCACAGGGAGGGGAGCACCCAGCAGGGGCTGGTGGGACCAGCTGCCGGATCCCACATGAGGCTGCCGGCATTCAAGAGTGATGGTTTGAGACCAGGAGTATGAGAGGATAGCCAGGACCTGCCCTGCCCTGGCACATTGAGAAAGGGCTTTAACAGAGCTTACACGTCCAACCAAAGCCAGGAGAAACCCAGGTCTTTGGTGCATCCAAATGTTTCCACTGCTCAGTTGGGGAGGTGGCCAGGCTGGGGCTCGCTCAGGCGTGAGCAGGACAGGATTACTGAAGGGAATGGAGCTGGTCCCATGGCTGGGTTTTGCTAGTGAAAGTTAGTACTCGCAAAACTGAAAAAAAATCATCATAGGGGGAGCCCGCATGCCTTGGTTCTCAGAGGCTGAAGACACGCGAGAAGGGAACACAGGGTCCAACCCTGCACGATGCCTGCCTGAACTCCACTCACTCCGAGCACTCTCTGAGGGGCTCCCACCAGGCAGCCCCAGCCCACAGGCAGGTCCCATTGGGCAGCTGGTGGGACTGCACTGTCCTCCCTGTGTGTCCTTCCACCTCCAGCATCTCCCGTGGTATTGGGTTTACTTGGCAAGGTGGTGGTAGCTGGGGGACTGCAGGGGTGGCTTCTGTGAGAAGACACCAGGAGCTGCCCCCTGGATGGGGACAATCCCAGATCACTCCAAAGGAGATCCACTGCTGCCCAAAGCTAAGCCACCACACCCCCGGTGTTGCCTCTGTGACAGTATATACAAGATAAGGTAAAAAAACGCTGCTCAGCAGCTGTGGGAGAGAGGAGTGAGAAAAATGTGAGAGAAACCACCCAGCAGACACCCTGGGTAGAGAAAAAGGAGGGGGAGAAGGTGCTCCAGGCATGGTAGCAGGGCCCTGCAGCCCATGGTGAATACCACAGAAAAGCAGGCTGCCCCCCTGCAACCTGTGGAGAAGACCACAGTAGAGCAGGTTGTTGCCCTGCAGCCCATGGAGAACATCATGTCGGAGCAGTCTGCTCCTGAGAAGCTGTACTCCATGGAAAGGACCCACACTGGAGCAGCTCATGAAGAACTACAGCCCATGGGAAGGACCAATGCTGGAGATTTTTCATCTTCTCCTCTCCCCCTTGTCGCGGAGGGGGAGTGAGGGAGCAGCTGGGTGGGCACCCAGCCGACGTCAACCCACTGCACCCATCAACCTTCAGTTCCCTGTCGCAGTGCTCAATCAGATTGCAAGAGCCAGGCTGAAATTCCTCCCACCCTCAATTTATGCCCCAAGAGCTACAAGACAGCAACACTCTCCATCCATAAACCTAGATCCCCACAGATCTGGCTGAAAGCCCCCATAACTCCTCACCAACCACTGGGACACCACATCCCTTGATGCCAGGCTCTTCTCTGCCACACTACAGGTGTCAGAGCAAGGGCTGAACTCAGGTGGAGACCCAGGAATAACCCCCCTCACTACCTGCATGCCCTGGGGAAGGTGGAAGTTGATGAGCTGTGGGCTCACTGCCCGGACCCACACCAAACAGCACAGCCCTCATTAGCCTAAGCTACTACTCAGCGAGCTCCTACTCATTAGTCTTTTAATAGCAGGGCTCCTTTGAGTTAATCCTACTCTTCCTGACACTCCGCATCTGTAGGGTACAGACTGGTGGCAGACAGTGGCAGGGTTACGTGAAGGGTTCCCAAAAGATGCCGTAGCTCCCTCAGCCCAGCCTCAGGAGGCAAAAAAACTTGGGCAGCGGTTCAAGTCGCTGCCTGCGCTGCCCAGCCTGTTCCGCATGACCTCATGCTCCATCAATGCGCTGCCATGAGCTACGGCATGGGAGGAGAGCGCTCCCGCTGATATGTGGGGATGCCTTTTTGCCCCACGCCCCTCCGCAGGTCTCGGGCCGCAGCATCCAGCCGCCCTATCCCAAGGAGCTCTCCCGGCAGCCGGCCAAGGCCCCGCAGACAGAGCTGCTTCTGTTCAGCAGCAGGGGCCGGCTGCTTCCCCAGGCCGGGGCGCCAAGGAACGTGTGCTCCCCAGCATCCACGCTGCCTCCGACGCAGGAGTGTCCAGGGTGGGACACAGCAGCAAAGGAGCAAGGGTTCCTCCCAGGGTTGGGACAGGAGAGGTTCTCAGTTTTATACTTTTAATTATCCCGAGTAACTAGACTCCCTTTTATCCCCTCCCGGGAATACCCCCTTACAAGGTGGGTCTCACTAGCCAGCCCCCTGCCCAGCAGCGAGGCACATGGGTCACATTTTCCACTGCGGCAAGTAGTTTTGGATGCTCCCGTTTCTCGGCTGTTTCAGGCCTGGTTTCGGAGAATTTCAGCATCTCCATCCTCCCCACACACATTTTTCTCCGGTCAAGGACGGGACTATCACAGGCTGGACAGTCAGGAACCAAGGCAACAAAGATCAGCCACCGCTTTTGGAAATGTTTGCTTACATGAACCCACAGGCTGGCTGGAAGGCAAAAATAACATCCTCCAAAAAACTGGGACGGCTCATTCCAGCGGGGCTGGGGGAGGTCAGGTCATGCCTGTCTCGGGAGGGCAAAATGGGCACTTCAGCAGAGGGAGAGTGAGGAGAAACAGGGCCTTCCTCCCAGCACCATCTTCCTGCTGCCCTTTGTCCCCTGGCCCGAAGCCTGCGCTTGGGCTTTGCTCCCCTTTTCCCTGGTCTCACCCATCCCTTTAGGAGTCAACCACCCCAGGCGTGACCCACGGGATGATGATGGAGCTACTTCTCCCCGGGGTTCCCCTGGCCGAGCCAGCCCGGCGTGCTGTGCCAGGCGGTCCCAGGGAAGCTGTTTACATCGTGGGCACGGTTATCTAAGCCTGAAAGCACGGGACAGCCCAGCTGAGCTATTCCCGGCTCCAGAGCAAGGACGGGGCTGTGGACCTGAGCTCCTCTGCTTCTGCAGCAGCTGCCGTGGGGGCTGCACACCCTCTCACTCACCACCCCTGAAGCCCACACATGGCAGCCCGGACCCTCTTACCCTGCACCCCAGATCCTCTCGCTTTGCACCCCGGATCCCCTCCACCTTGGGCTCCCCTACACCCCATACCCGCTGCATCCTGGCTCCTCATCACCCTGGGCTCCCTGGCACCCCTGATCCCCGGCACCACAGCTTCTCAGGCTCCCTGGCACCCCTGATGCCAAGCACTCTGTCCCCCTCCCTGCGCTTCGGGTGCCCCTGCACCCCGGATCTCCTACACACCAGACAACCCCGCACCCCGGATCCCACGCACCCCCATCACCCCGGGCTCCCTGGGACCCCCGATCTCCATCTTCCCTCCACTTCGTGTTCCCCAGACCCCCTGCACACCGGACAATTCTCCCCCGTGGATCCCCCGTGCTCCAGAATCCCCGCACCCCACATCTCCCGCATCCTGGCTCCCCCATCACCCCGTTTTAACC